CATTTTGAACTATCCCCTAATTTTTGTGAGCAATGTAGTACTATAGTAGCACGTTGCAGTTTCTCATTCACATTGCAGTCGATTTATTATTATTATCCTTTTTTTGTATCGCTTCATTTTGAATTATCCCCTAATTTTTGTGAGCAATATAGTATTATAGTAGCACGTTGCAGTTTCTCATTCACATTGCAGTCGATTTATTATTATAATAAGGATTGACAGAGAACTGTGGAGAAGCAACGAATATTTTACTAGCATTCTTCTTTCAAAGTTCCATTTTTGAAATTACATCCCCGAGAATATAAACGCTAGATCGGCAATATAATTACAACAATATCGTAACAAGTCTTCGATTTAAAGATTTAAAATATTTTCAACGTTCGTAGTTTTAACTACGTAGAGCGATAATATCTTCGTAGATAATATCTTCGTCAGAATTTTTACAAAATTACACAAACTCTACATCTATAAATGGACTACGAGCGTTCGTGAAATATATATACTTTACGGCATCGTCGCTTCGTATATATTTTGCAAACTTTACGAAACTGAGAGAGATACCGCGAAGATGAGTAATTTCATTTCATCGTGGGACAAAGGAGGGGATCGCGAGCATCGCGAACGCGGATGGAAACGTTTCGTTTCTTTCGGGCTCTGCGGTGCTCGTTGCAGTTGTCCCGGGGTAAATAAGTTCGCCGCCGCCGCCAGATTTCGTGGTAGTTTATTAATTCAATTATACTTCTCCCAAGGCGCTCAGTTAGCGGATCACGTAGAGCCACTTGTATCAGCTGACGGTGTAACCGTGTTTCAAGACTATTGCGGATTCAGGACGCGGGCCAGAGTCGTGCGGCGAGAAACGATACCGGAGGAGTGAGGGGCGGAAGGGGGGGAGAGCACAAAATCAAATTTCAGTTTCCGGTCTGTAATGGCTGTTGCAGCGTTCGCATCAGCTGTAATCGTCTCTCGTTGCAATTGACTTTCCCCAAGCGATTCCCACGATATGGTATACTCTTCTTAACGGAACAAATTTTCCTATGGTACAACAAGCAATTGTCCTTCGCCACTGTCCTGAATCTTTGATGTACCATTTGTACAGTTTCTTTCTTTCTTCTCTTTTTTTTCATTTCTTTGCACTTCGACGATGTTTCGTGTTGTGTGTTTTATCATTCAGAACATGTGG